TGTATTTTATTTTCTTTTTTTTTGAGACAGAGTCTCGCGCTGCTGCCCAGGCTGGAGTGCAGTGGCGCGATCTTGGCTCACTGCAACCTTCGCCTTCTGGGTTCAAGCAATTTTTGTGCCTCAGCCTCCTGAGTAGCTGGAGTTACAGGTGTGCGCCACCACACCCTGCTAATTTTTGTATTTTTAGTAGAGATGGGGCTTTGACCATGTTACTCAGGTTGGTCTTGAACTTCTGGCCTAGATCCGCCACCTCAGCCTCTCAAAGTGCTGGGATTACAGATGTGAGTCACTGCTCCTGGCCTGTATTTTCTTTTTTTCCAGTTAAACTCATAGCAAATATATCATGCAGGTGTATTTTCTGATCAAAAGAATAAATGAACGTAAAAAGCAAATATATTAAAGAAACAATATCCAGTAAAGTCCTTAGTACTTAGAAATGAAATACCTTTCTAAATAATACATGAGTCTAAAATCAAAAGAGAAATTAGAAAATGTTTCAAAATTAGAAAGTTATTTGAAACAATAGTAAAAATATAACATCAGTCTTTATCATGCAGCTTGAAAGAGTACTTAAGAGGGAACTTTATAACTTTAAGTGCTTATATAACTAAAAGGAAAAAATTGTCAATTATCTATGTTTTTGCCTTAAGAAGCTACAAAAACCCAAAATAATGAGAAGTAAAGAGAGATCAGCAAGAGTGTGGTGCAGTGGAACATAGGACAGAAGAAAAAGGAGTTTTCAAATATCTATTTCTCTTGAAATCTTTGCAATTTAGGAATGGGAGCTGCCTCTTTTGATACATTTTCATTGTTGTTGTTGTTGTTAATGAATATTTTCCAGGGTCAGTGAAAAATTTTCAGACACACCATTTAAAAATAGTCATTCATTTTGATGTTCCGAGGTTTATTTATTCACTCCCCTTCTATCAAGCATGTAGGCTGTTAACAGTGTTTCAGTATTACAAATAAACCTATTATAAGCCTCAAACTGCCTTCAAACTTAGAGAAGATTTATTGGAGGTTTGTTAGACCAATCTCCCAGAAGTTAGACTTCTGGGTACTCTGATTTGTGTGCTTGTCTTCTGATGGTCTGTGAACTCCTTATGGGATAGGACTCTGTTCCAATTATTTTGGGATCCCTACTGCTTAATTTATTGCCTATGCACAGAAGAGGCAGACAGTAATGATGCACTTACAGTGACATGGAGCCTTTATTATGGGTGCTGTCAAAGCCCTTTATGCTTATAATATTTAATTATCATAATTGTGAAAAATACATACCATTTTAAACTTTAACTGACAAGAAACTAAGCAATAGAGAGAAAGTTAAAAAAAAGTGCCAGGGTCACACATCTAATACTATGTGGCTGAGTCTGAGTTTTAAGATACTTGAAATAAACTGAATGGACCTTTAAATTTAGGGTGATGGAGATGATTTGGGCTTCAGAGTTGCATGTGGCTTTGACATTTTACTTTTACAGTCTAATTGTGTCACAAGTCCTTGTGTATGTGAGCCTCAGTTTTCTTTTTCTTGAAAATGATGATATTAGTAATTACTTCCAAGTTTATTAGGGGAGCACATTTTAAAACACATACACATAAAGCCACCTTATACAGGGCTGGAACAATATTAAGCTCTTAGTCAGTGATTGGTTGTTGTCTCTTTTTCCTGTCTCTCTCACTTTAGACTTGTTCTTAAGCTCTCAAAGCTTTTCTCTTTTATAAAAGTAAACATAATTATATTTGCAGATTTGTTATAAAATATAAATGAGATTTACTCTTTAAAAATGATTTTAACATTTTTTAAGTTAAAAAATTGTGATAAAAATGAATTTTAAAAAATTTGAAATTTGACATTTACCAGTTTTTAACTCTACTGTTCCAGTAGTAGTAAGTATATTACATTTTTGTGAAACAGATCTCTAGAATTTTTTTCATCTTGAAAATGTGAAACTCTATGCCTATAAAGCAGCTTCTCTCCTTCCAGCCCCATCTCCTGGAAGCCACTATTCTACTACCTACTTCCGTAAGTTTGACTGTGTTAGGTATGTTATATAAGTGGAATCATATGTTATTTATTCTTTTGTGACTGGCTTATTTCACTTAACATAATGTCTTCAAGGTTCAGCATGTGTTAGAATTTCTTTCCTTTTTAAGGCTGAATAATATTTCATTGAATTTATATACCACATACTTTTTATTCATTTGTGGACAAACACCTGGGTTACTTCTACCTTTTGGCTATTGTGAATAATGCTACTATGAATATGGGTGTTTGAATATCTCTTCCAAACCCTGCTTTTAATTCCTTGGATTATACCCAGAAGTGGGATTACCGAATCTTTATGGTGGTTCTAGTTTCAGTATTTTTAGGAGCCTCCATGTTGTTTTCCATAGCAGTTGTACCATTTTACCTTCCCATCAACAATACACAAGGGTTTCGATTTCTTCATATCCTTGTCAAACCTTATTTTCTATTTTTAAAAAATGTAGCAGCTATTATAATGGGTGTTAGGTTGGTTTTAACGTTTCTTAATGATACACATTTTTAGATAGAATTAGAAAAGTGACTCCTGAAATCTCTTGGTCAGCTGGAATAGCATCCATTCATACCAGCATGACAAAACCAAAAGCATATGGGAGGGAAATTGACCAAAAAAGCTAACTACTGTGTAGCTCCGTTTGGAAAGAAGAAAAGCTTATTTATGTCTGTTGCTTGGAATATAGATATGATGAGGGATAGATCCACACTAGATGCTACTGATATATCCACATATATACACTTTTTTTTTTTCCTTTTTGAGATGGAGTTTTGCTCTTGTTGCCCAGACTGGACAATCTCAGCTCATTGCAACCTCCACCTCCCAGGTTCAAGCGATTCTCCTGCCTCATCCTCCCAAGTAGCTGGGATTACAAGCATGCGCCACCACGCCCGGCTGATTTTTTGTATTTAGTACAGATGGAGTTTCACCATGTTGGGGTGGTGTTGAACTCCTGATCTCAGGTCAACCACCTGCCTCGGCCTCCCAAAGTGCTGGGATTATAGGTGTGAGCCACTGCGCCTGGCCTGATACAGAGTATGGAGTCTGTAGTAATGGTTAGCTTTTTCAGGCTGTCATGAGGGATAAATTTAAAATGTATATTGTTGATTTTTCACTTTTAGCTGAGAAATGCAGGTTGTAGAAGGGATTTACATTTACCACAAGGGGTCCTCCTGACACCATCAGACCCCCAGGCCAGTATTAATATGTCTGTGACTGCAAAGCCCAATTTCTGACGAATAACCCAGAACCTTTACAGCCTTATCAGTGTTTTTCTTTGCTTCAGTTAGCTTGGAAAGTTAACCTAACTTGGAAAGATACAATTGCTTGATACTGTTGCTATTTGTTAAATAAGGTGAGCAGTCAAACTGTGGATAAATTGCATTTATAGGGTAAAAAAAATTGATGGTGATTAAATAAGTTGCATGTGTGTATATGCATTTTCCATAAAATAAAAGTTCTATGTTTCTTTTGGACAACGTTAGTGTTAAGTAACTACTGGATTGCCTTTTGATATTTGCATTATTATGGTCAGTATAAGCAAAAAAAAAAAAAAAAACCCTCTGTTTTATAACATGTATGGATAGATTGAAAATTTTGGTGAGCTTCTTATTCTGTCCTGTGTTGTCATGCTTCTACCACTGCATCTGAAAAACGAATGCAACGTCTTCTTACAGATTTCAGGAGCCTTTAAAAGAAAGCAATTACAGCAGTTAACCTCTCAACAGTTTCTAAATCTGGAATTGAGCTTTGATCTCTGTCTGTATGGCAAAACAAAAATAAGAAATTATCATTAATTAGAGTCCGTGAAAATATTGCTTAGATTAATAAGGTCAGGGTTTTGTTGTTTTTGCCTTTTTAGATAATGAAATAGTTTTTATGCCATTAATTTTAGAGGTACTTGAGAATACACATTTTATTGTCTTACCCAATTGACAGAAATATTAAATAAGGTTTTCATGGTAAGAGTTGCATTTTCCCATCTATTTTTTGTATTTCACTGTTGCTTAATTTAGTGGTTATAGTTATTTTCTGGTGATTTTGATACATCTGTCAAGTACCAGCTACATGTCTAGCAGGTAGTGTGATGACTTTTATCTGAATTTGTATTGGGGCAGGATTACTGACACCAGAGGGCTATCACATGAGCCTCACGATTTGGTGAATTAGGATGTTGCATGGGGATAAGAGCAGCTTAATCTATCCCATATTCTTTGCTGTTTTTCTTCTCTTCCTTTCTTTGTCCCGTTGGTCCTTACTGTGATTCATTTGCCCTTTGTAGGCCTGTTTCCAGACTCTTCTCTGGAAACCTTTATAGCATCTGGAGGTAGGTGATACTATAGGTGGTGGTTTAACTGTGTCATCTGACTGGTGTCCAAGTGCCTGATGCATATCCCAGCTCTGCAACTGATCAATTAGTTGTAATATTAGGTATGTTACTTAATTTATCTGTTCCTCAGTTTGTTCATGTGTCATACGTGGATTGTAATATCATCTATGTTGTTGGTTGTTAAAAGTATTAATTGAGAAAATAGGTGGAAAGCACTGCAGCAAATTGGTGAAGTACGTGGACTCTGTAGCTAGACTGCATGAGTTTGATTTCCAGCTTTGCAACTCAAAAGTTCTGTGACATTGTGAATTTAAGTTACCTGGTCTCTCTGTGCTTTGATTTCTTCATTTGTAAAATGGGGATAACAGTATCTACCCCATGGGTAGTTTGTTGTGATAGGTAGGTGAGTCAACATTTTTAAAGTTATTGGAAGAAGGCTTGGTACAGAGTTAGCATTCACTTGGTATCATCATGTTAAAATTCTATTTTCATTATTATTAGCGTTGCTATTATGCTATTTTGTGACTGGCACGTAGTACTCAATAAGTGATAGGTATTGTTGCTCTCCTCATTTTACTGATGAAGAAACTGAAGTTCAGGATGTTGAAATGATTTTCTTTGTCTCACAGGCAGAACTGGGGTTCCTTTGCATCTTCCAGTTACAAATTCAGTGCCTTCTGCAGTTTCCCCAGAGCTCCTCAAGAATAACGGAAGGGAGGTATAGTAATTGTTAAGAAACTTTGCAGAGAAAGTGAATAATGCCAATACTGTCACCTTTTGGAATTTGTTGGTATTTCCTGTTGTTTGTCTTTGGAAGGTGATTAGATTTATTATGACTAATATTTCTTTGGTCTTAACCGAGTCATAATTTTTGTTGATAGACTAAAATTTTTGAAAAATTGTTTTCGTGGTGGAAACAGCAAGACAAAATGACAGGAATGGTAATTAGTAATCTTACTGGAAATGAGCGCAGTATAAGATACCTGACATTCTAAAGTTAGGATATATTGTAATTATCAAGTGCTAATTGGAGGAACCATGTTGTAAAACTGTCGAAGTTATTTAAATCTGTAACTCCCTGATTGATGCAAACATAAAAGAGGTGAAAGATGATATATTTAGAAGTATACATGTATGATATGAATAATAATTTTTTTTTACATTCCTCCTGTCGATTGGCATAAAAGCATTTATCAGTGCTTTACTTTGCCAAGTAGTGCTGCCATGGTGTTTGGTATTCCTTAAGAGAGACAAACTTATGACAATTATATGAGAAATGTGAAAGTTAGGCTGGTATTTTGTGAACTGCTTTTGGTGACATTTACAAGTAGTTCATTTCCTAATAGTTCATTCCTAGGGACCTTCTCATATATGGTCATGGTTTTGTAGGTAAGTCAGATTGGACAAAATTGTACATCATATGAAGGGGTTTAGAGTTCTCTCTTATGCTTACTGATCTTGCGTATAACATTGTTTGCAACCCTGATGATTTTATGTAATCTCACACACTATTTTCATTTGTGCTCTATTAAAATTTGTGGTGAAAGTTTTAATAGGAGTATCAGTACAAAATTACGTGATTTTTTTTTTTTTTATGTGGGGTGGGAAGAGGCAGTCTACGTGATTTTCCTAGACTTTATGTCCGTTTTTCTTTTCTCATATTCTTGAGAAAGCAAAGTTTTCATAATGTTTAGTTCACTTATTCATTCAATAAGTAGGTACCAAGCCTTTGTACTGTACTGAGATCTGGAAGTGAAGCAGTGCCCGGGATGGAGGCACGCCATACTGTCACTGATGTCCGGACATACGTATACCTTCTCTGTGACCATAGCCTTGAAAAGAAAAATTCTCTTTGCCATCTTCTCATTACTTAGAGGTGATAGGCGGGTCGGTGGAATATGGCCTACACATCTTACCATTTTAGTAAGGCCCTGGAGACAATATGTATAGGACAGACAGAATTTCCGTCACGGAGCTTGCATTGTAGTAGGGGCAGCCAGGCAATAAACTGAATGTTTAAGTAAATCATGAGGTGTTTTAGAAAGTTGTAAGTGCTGTGGGAATAAAGTGAAGCAGGGAGAGCAGATGGCCCATGCAGTTTCAGACAGGGTGGTCTGGATAGGCCTCGTTGAGTAGGCGACATTTGAGCATAGATGTGGCAGGGGGAAGGGAGCAAGCCATGTGGATAACGCGGGGGCAAGAGTGTCCCACATAGAGGGACATCAGTGCAGAGTCCCTGACGTGGGCAGGGAGTGGCAAGGAGGTCAGTGTGGTTCGTGCCAAGGAAACTAGTGGATCCTTGGCGATAGAGGGGAGCCATATCACGCACGACCTTGCGGACTGTGCTAAGTATATAGGTGCTGAACCTGGGAAAGTTGGGGAACTGTTGGTGAGTTTTAAGCAAAGGAGTAAAATTGTGTGATTGATGTTTTGGAAGGATCAGTGCACAACTCAGAAGAGTTGTGAATAGAGTGTAGGGCAGTGAGAGCTGGAGCAGAGAGACCAAGTAGGAGGCCTATGGCTATAATCCAGGCAGCCTGGACCGGGGTAAGGCCAGGAGATGTGGTGAGAAATACATGTATTCTGATTATATCTAGAAGGTAAAGACAAGAGTTTACCTTTCAAGTAGGATTTACCAGAATTGCTGTAAAATATGCCAGTACTAAAAGAGTTTCATGTAAAGGTCACGCAACTTTTAAATAAGTGGTTGGCTTTTATATTAGTATGTAGAATTCATAAATAAGGGAATATAGAGGACTGCTTACCCTTTTTCACTTACATTGCCATTATCTGTAGTCTGTTTCTGTTCACGATGTCACTGGATTAGGAATTTAAAAGCATAATTTGTCAGGAAGAAAATAATAAACACTGTATCACCAAAGTAGCCAGTACTTGCCTCATTTTGCAGCTCTTTGACCTTGGGCAAGTTGCTTGGCCTCTCTGAACTTCATTTTTGTCTTCTGTGAAAACAGGGAAGTAGCTGCTTCACTGAGATTGTGTTATGGATTAAATGCAGTTTTTTATATATAACTATAGTTGCTCGATAAAAGGTATAAGTTATTGCTAGCAGTATCACCTGTATCCTCTTCAGTTCTTCTCTGTGGCATGAGTTGGTTCCTAACATTTCCATAGCTGCTGTTTCAATCTGGTCTTTACTTAGTCTCCTTGGTCTCTGACCTGGGTAATTTATGCTCTTTCATATCTTAACATCTTCCCATACTCTCAAGATCTTGCACATTAGGAGATGATATTTGGATATTGAAATAAATTATGAAGTAGTTGCAGGGATAGGAGAGAAAACCCCCATCTACTGGTCACTTTAAAGTCACAGAAACCAGGTTCATCCCTCTCCCTCATTCTCTATATTCACTTTTCTTGTTTGTCCTCTCGTCCTGTCTGTCACTGCAAGTGCATTAGCTCCAGTCACCACCACCCTGTGCTTATATGACTCTCTCTCCTGCTCAGCTGGTCCTGTGGCAGCTCATCAGTCTGACTAAAAAATCCTTTCTACGGTGGGATGGTGTGCTGTGGTATGAAGACCCTGGCATCTTAGATGAGCGAGTGGGCTTGGTAGATTATTGAAATAAATTATGAAGTAGTTACAGTGGTAGGAGAAAAAGTGCCCATCTACTGATCACTTTAAAGTCACAGAAACCAGGTTTATCCCTCTCCCTCATTCTCTCCATCACTTGTTCTCTTGTCCTCTCTGTCACTGCGACTGTATTAGCTCCAGTCACTACCACCCTGTGCTTATACCACTCTCTCTCCTGCTCACCTGGTCCTGTGGCAGGTGTTCAGTCTGACTAAAAAATCCTTCCTGTGGTGGGGTGGTGTGCTGTGGTGTGAAGACCCTGGCATCGTAGATGAGCGAGTGGGCTTGCTAACTCCTGTGCCTCTTCCCAGTCTATGACCCTGTCTTTAGTCTTAGTGCTCTCATTTTTAAAAGAATTTTAATACCACATTTGCTTAAAAGATGGGAAAATTACATGTAATCAGTACTTTGTGTGTAGAATATAATTGTAGGTTGCTAATGAAGGTAGCTTTTATTTTGTAACTTTTGACAGCCATAAATTGCAAGGTGGACTCAGTGTGCTTGGATTATTTGTACAGTCTGTTAGTCGATGGCTCAGATTAAATTCCAGTCTGTTCTCACGGGAGTGGGTCAGATATGCTTGCTGGTGAATGTGCTCTTATCCTTCCCATCATGGCAGTGGTCCTTTACAGTCTTGGTCTCTTAGTAATGGTGGAGGCTGGGGATTGTTTTTCATGTATTCTAGTTTATCTAGTTGCTTATTTCCTCTGTTCTTTTTCTAGCTTGCTTGCGTTTTTCTGGAGCCCCTTTCTTCCCAGTGTTCCCTGGGGTCATAGTTCACGCTGGTGAGTGATGTGTTTTCAGTGGAGCATAGAAGAGGTCACTTGAACTCTGGCTACTATTAGGAGCCTGGAAGTAAACCTAGAGACAAAGCCATCATCAAAAGTAGCATGTTAGAAATGAAACAACTGTCCTGGGGCATCACTGGACACAAATAAGCCTCTTGTTCTCCTCAGGCTTTGTTAAGCTATTCTTTTCAGAAGTTAGTGACTTCATAAACAAAGCCTCGGTCATTTTCACTGTTCAGTAAAATACTTGATTTTTGATTGGTTTATACAAGTGTACTACTAACAAAATTACCCACATTTGGGAAAGCTAGAACTGTAGAGTCTCAGTGTGTCTTATGTATGTTCAGAGAACAAAGGCACCAGGAGCCTAGTTACTAATTATCTAACTGCTAAAGTGGAATGTGTTTAGATAGCTAAGTTTTTGAGATGATCTTGACTATCTCACAGTTTGAATGGAAAAACTAAGTAGCTCTGCATTTTAAAAAGTTGCTAGTACAGATTGTAAGGTTGTTTTTCTGTCTGTCTTCTTTAGTATGAGTTTATTACTCGCTTATGTTTTGAAACTAAGAAAGGAAATCATGCCTCTTGGATCCCTCAATATTCCCTAAGCTAATTTTAAAGAATGTGGCTACCTCAAATTCTTGATTTTCTGTTTTCGAGAGAGTTTTAAAAATTTATACACTTACTATGAGCGTACCAACCAGGAAAAATATTTTACCACGAAAATATTTGGGTACCTATGGACATAGAGACATAGATAGATCAGGATTTTTTTTCCACAAAGGATTTTTATTTCATCAAGGTAATTATTTTAACTCTAAGGTCATAAAGAATTAGGTTAGTAAAATGACAAAGGCATGACTTTGAAAACAAAAATGGTTTGAGAAGCCACCTACAGACATGATCTGGGTCAGACTTGATTTGCAGCTTACTCAATTTTAGAATCGGTTGTCAGTTTTGTAAACAGAAGACTGCTGGATGAATTGAATAGAAGGGTGAGATTAGCATATTAATAAGTTACTGGCTACTGGCCTTCTTTTTCTCCTCCCTCTTTTCCCTCCCTCTTTCTCCTTCCCTGAATGAATCTAGGAATACAGACCCGTGGGGTCACATTACTAGCTGGTTTCATTCTGTTCAGTAGCTTAATCTAGCCAGGATGGTCTGTGTTTCAGATTGCGGAAGCATGAGAAGATTCTGTAACTGAGAGGCATTCTTCAAGCTGCTGGAAAATATTACAGAAGGAACACCTTCCAAATTTTGCTTCAAGCTCTGAAAAAAGGAGCACACAGGGGAACCTTAGTCTTGCTTGTGGATCGAAGCAAATACTATCACAG